AGAGAGAGAGAGAGAGAGAGAGAGAGAGAGAGAGGGAGGGAGGGGGGGCAGGACACACACCACACGTGTGGGGGCGGGGGTGTGGCCGGAAAAAGGTGGTTGCTCGCAGCGCCGGAGCCCCGCCCACTTCCGCCTCTCAGTGCGCAGACGCGGTAGGCGTCCGAGGGTTTTTGGCTGTGGCTTTGGAGGCTGGCCGTTGGCCGCGCATGCGTAGTGAGCCGTTGCGCGATCCTGAGGCGGTGGTGAGTTCTCTCCCTCCACTCGCAATTCCCGGCTTCGGCACCGAACCCTACTAATGAATCCTTAAGATAACGTGGGTTTAATCAGCTTAAGACAGGCACCTCTCAGATCCGGCCCTGAAGGAACTTGGCCTACCCCCAACCTTTCCAGATGTTTTCTTCCAGTGTCTTTCAGCTCCTGCCTCTCCCTTCCGGAAACACACAGTCCGCTGCTCACAAGCCCTCAACACCCCTGAAACCATCACAGCCCCGTGCTCCCCATACAGACCATCCCGATCGCCTACAGGCCCTTCGAGCCTGAGCGCTTGCTGTTTAGCCCGCCCCTCGTACGTCTTTGTTAGGACACTCTCGCCTCACCGCCCTCCCACTATGCTCCTCGCATGTTCTCCAATCTCGCCCCTTGTAGCCCACCCTTTACAGGACCTGTGCCCCGCCCCTCGCCAGCCCCGAAGTCCCACCCCTCGAGGGCCCTCCCACTCCCTTCTCAGCCCCACGCCTCGCAGCCCCCAGCAGCCCCACCCTTCTCGGGCCCCCAGCAGCCCGCGGGTTCGCAGCCGCATCCGTCCCAGCCCCGCCCCTCGCAGCCCCTGCAGCCTTCTAGCTCCGCCCCTCGCAGGACTCCCCAGCACATCAATTCTAAGTCCCCAGAGTCCCGCTGGTCTTTCACTCGCAGGCCCTCCCCGCGGTCTCGGTCCCGCCCCGGCCGCTGTCCTCAGGCTTCATTGGTCCCTTATCTCCCCAGTAACGAGACCACAACACTGAACTTGGAGCATCAAGGACAGGTCAAGCACCCCAGATAGGGCCTGGGCCTCACCGCCCCCACAGCTGGCCGGGGATTCCCCCTCCTCTGTGACCAAACAGCCCGGCCTCGGAGATACCGAGGGCCCAGGGGACCTGCCCCCCACCTCCAGAGTCAGAGCCGAGACGCAAGACCGAGGAGGTGGGAAAA